AATTGTGTCTCTGGGAAAAACAATTTACTAATGGACTATACTCTGGCAGTCTTTAGCCAAATTGGTTCAGGATTCATCACTGCTTCTTCAATAGAATTTCTTCAGTGCCCTATTATTGGAGTCATGTTCTCGGCCTACTATGCAAATCTTTATTTTCTCTTCTTTTAAATGTTGCTTGGAGATGGCAGACAATTTACGCTTTTAATGTATCATCCGTTTAGAAAAGTTTACAGGTTTTAATTTCGCAAAGGCCATTAGTATCCACCTCTGCTGGAATTGGATTCACAGCTAGCACTTTGAGCTCCACATTCGAATCATTGGGGTCAAGCTGTATTATCAATTATGGAATCAATAATGAAGGGAAGGCAGAACACATGGGTTAGGATTTTTTCATTCGGACCTCTCCCTCCAGGATTGATTTAGATTTTATGTTTGTTTGTCCTTTAGTTTTTGCCTCTGCGTAGGTCTGGCTCTTTGGTATATTTCCCTTCTTTTCATTTCTTTTGGCTCTTTGTTGGGGCTGGGCCACCCCCTCCTCTTGTACTTTTATTTCTTTTAATAATATATGTGTGTGTGTGTGTGTGTGTGTGTGTATATGTTCCTTACAAATAGAAGATAATCCCACCCCTTTTAATCATCCATAATTTTGGCCCTCTCCTTTTCTTAAGAGACAAAAAGTTTGTTTTGTTCTCTTAAAAACTTTACACCAAATATTGTACTCCCTCTGTTCCAAAAAGTTTGTTACGTTTAGAAAAAACTGCGTCCCGTAAAGTCCGTTACATTTCTATTAAAAACCACTTTTACCCCTTACTTTTTCATACCCTACATATCGCATCATAGCTTTTTTCTAATAATCTACTCATGACATCCTACATTTACCCATCACATCAAGGGTATTTTTGGAAAGTCAATACCAAAATATCCCTCCCTTAATTTCCCAAAAAGTCAAACTGTCCCATTCTTTTTGGAACGGAGGGTGTATATTTTAGAAATATTCTAGAGAAAAATTACTGGAGGTCATATACTGGAGGTCATATATACTTTTTTGGCTAGCTCTTGGACCAATTCTCCAACCTACACATATTGTTGCTTGCTCTCCAAAAAAGATATATTCTTCACCAATAACTTATAATCCCTCCGTCCAACTTTAAAGTTCACACTTTCCTTTTTGTTCGTCCATAAATAATGTTCCCATTTCCTTATTTGGCAAATTTTTAAGTGTAAAATGACTAAGATACCCTTGAAATCTCTAAAAAAATTTCCTCCCCCTGCTGATTTACAACCACCCATCACAACCTTATCTTTTTTCATTCTCATTTCGTCAACTACTCTACCCAGCCCCTTGTTCTTCCTCCGTGCTTCTTCTCCACTTTTTTTTTCTTCTTTTTCTTCATTTCTTCTTCCCCTTCTTCAATTCTTTTTCCCCTTTTTCAATTCTTCTTCTCCTTCTTCCTACCTGTCACTGACGTACAAGCATCATATTCCCTCAAATTCTTCAACTTCTTTCTCTTCCCCAAGATCTGACCACCAAAGATCTGATGTCGCTGGAGATTTAATGGAGCTGCCTGACGAGGAGCAACGACGGTGGAGATTTGATAGAGCTGCTTGACGAGGAGCAACGGTGACAAAGATCTAATCGAAGATGTACAGAGGTGTGTATGTGATGGAGGACGAAAGGTATACGGACCTGCTTGTGAGGACGGAGGTAAATAATGATTTTGGGTGGTGTTGAGTTGAAGGAGGAGGAATAGTAAGTTGAAGAGGATGAACGGTGTTGAGTTGAAGAGGATGAACAGTGATTTTGGGAGGAGGAATAAGGCAGGAAGGCTGGCTGAGTGAAGGAAGAAGGAAGATGAGGGGTATTTTGGGAAAGTCAACCACAATTTTACTTCACCTAAAACTGCGGGCCGAGTCAAAGTGGGAACATTAATTTTAGACGGAGGGAGTAATAATCATAAGAGGTCTTGGATGGATCTACGTTTGGACACCAAAAAAAATTTTCCCGCTTCCCTATCCTAGAACCCTACAGTGGTATTAGAGCTGACTTATGAGAATTATAAGTTTTGTAGATTTAATTACCGTTAGAATTTTTGTTAATTAATAAAATAAAATATATGTGTATATATTTTTAAAAATTATCCAAAATTCAAGAAAGTGAAAAAATATGATTTTAGACTTTATAAAATTCGAAAATATGATTTTTGAATTAAATTCTTTATTTATTATTATTTTCGAGTTAATGGGTTAAAAACCGTTTTAACCAATTAAAATATTTCTAAAATTAGAAAATTAAATTTTATTAAATCTGAGACTTTAAAATATGATTTTAAGACCTCTGGAAATTTAAAATTAATTTTCCGTATTTACTTCCTAGTTTATAAAGTATTGTTTGATTTGCAGTTAATTTGATTAATTACAAGATAAATACGAAATAAGCGGTTCTGCGATGCCAAAAGGAGGGCATTTCTCAGCGACAGCGGAAAGAAGACCAATAAAGGGTGGAGAATAATTTTAATCATTCTAAGACTTTAAAATATGATTCTAAGGGCTCTGGAAATCTAAAATTAATTTTCGGAATTTATTTCCCAATTTATAAAGTATTGTTTGATTTGTAATTAATTTTATTAATTACAAGATAAATACAAAATAAATTATGAAAACTATTTTAATAATTCTAAGATTTTAAAATATTATTTTAAGCATTCTGGAAAATTAAAATAAATTTTAGGTTTTTATTTTCTATTTTTCTGATTTAAAATAATCTTATTCGGTGTTAATATAGATTAAATCGATAAGGACAATTAAAATTCGGGATTATAATTTTATGAACTTGACAATATGAATTTCAGACTGCATAAAAGTTTTGAGAATCAAATTCATAATTTAAATATTAATTATTAATTTTTGGGAAAAACAGTTTTGGTAATTCAGTAATTACTTCCCGAAAATTAAAGAATTAATTTTAAATTATTTAAATTTAATATTTGGTAAAAATATATAAATATTTGGTGAATAATTATTTTTGGAATAATTATGATGCACGAAAAATAATTTTAGAAATTGTTTTTATGGATTATCAAATAAAAACAGAAAGTACCAAAACTAAAATTTAAGAAAACTCAGGAAATTTGATTTTCAGATTGTAGATGAGTCCAAAACTTCATTTTTGGAAAATAATTATTTTTGGAATATTTAGAACATTCTAAATTAATTTTGGAAATTAATTTAGCTCTTTTTGAAACAAATTCCAAAATACTGAAAATAAAATTTATTTATATCTGGAAATTTGATTTTCAGAACAATACTGACCCAAAGTAAATATGTTTGTAAAATATTAATTTTTCGAAACTCGGAATTAATTTTTGGAAAACTGAAGTCCGATTTAGACTATTCAAATAAAGAATTTCGAAAATAAATTTTATAAATTCTGGAAAAATTACTTTCAGACTTATAAAATCAGAATACACATTCTGGAATTTATTTAATAATTTTCAAAAGGTACAAGTATTTATTTCGAATAAAAATCCCAATTTTGAAGTGAATACCTATATTTACGGTAATTAATTATTTTAAAATTCAGGAAAATTCAAAATTAAGTTTTGGATATTCTAGAGTTTTAAAATTAAGTTAAATAAAATTACTTGGTAATTTTTAGGCTCATAGTTTATTTTTCTAAAAATAAACTAGGTCTAGGCTGAACGCGGCTTGCTCGGTGTATGGATTTTTATGCATGTGATGTATGAATGTTTGCATGGTGCATGTTTGTGGCTTAGAATGTGTGGTTTTTAAATACGACCTGCGTGTCGTGCCTCATCTCTAAATTCTGGTTGTAAATCTCTTCTTAAACCTTATACCCCTTGCTTACAAAGCAGGGATTCTTTTCTCTCGATTAAAAAAAGAAGAGGACATTAGCAAGAAAGGGCTGAACTTGAAGGCTGAAGCATTCTTAAATAAAGAAGGTGAAGCTGGAGATAGAGATCTCAAGTGAAGGCTTTATCGTTAATTCTTTAGGAGGCCACAACCATGTCACGTTTTATTCATTTTTGTATGTTTGAATGTAAGTTTGTATGATATTCGCTAGTGTATGTGTGTGGCACATGCCATAGGTGAAATCACGTTTAAAATCCCTTGTAATATAAAGTTTGTGCCTTCCGACGCTTACTCACTCGTCGTTACCAGTTTCGACTAGTCAACGGACACGCCAAAGTGGGACGCCTGGTTTACATGGGTAAGGCGCGAAATCCGTAACAATGGATACTGAGTAAATCCCGGGTTGGACTTAACTAAGTTAAGGTAAAATGATGAATAACTTAGAGGCACATGGTTAGGTTAATAAATAAAATCAAATTCATCTAACCTAGAGTTGTAAAATGTTACAATTGGAAAGAGTACGTGCTTGAACGAGCGATTCCACCTGTCCCGGCCGCCAATGCTTCTAAAGCAATCAAAGATGCTTATGAAAAGCATGTTGATGATGACAATGAGGTGGCATGTCTCATTTTGGCTACCATGACTTCTGACCTTTAGAAACATCACGAGAGTATGAATAATAGTATAATTAGTAGTTTACTGGGACGATCCACTAGATCCATAAGCCAAATAAGCCAAGATGAATAGCCTTTCTTTTTAAGCTTTTTAAGAACCTCGTTCGATCCCGAACTGCATTCAAAAAAGCGAGGAGGCGTACGATATGATTATACACCTAAGACAGCTCTACCAACAACAAGCTAGGCATGAGAGATTCCAAATCCCCAAAGCTCTCTTTAGTTGCAAGTTTTCTGTTGGAAACTCCGTTGGTCCGCATGTTCTCAAAATGATTGGCTATGTCCAAACTCTTGAGAAATTGGGTTTCGAACTAAGGTCTGAACTTGCAACTGATCTGATTCTGCAATCGTTGCCAGATTTGTACAAGCAGTTTGTGGTTAATTACGAGATACATGAACTCGATAAACCACTGCTAGAACTTTTGAAGATGCTGCAAACTGCCAAAGAGAGCTCAACGAAAGGAAAGGGGAATTATGTCCTTTTAGTTCAAGGAGGAAAAGGTAAGAAGAAGTTCAAGATGGCAAAGAAGAATGGACCTAAAGGCAAGGGTAACACCAAGCCTAAGTCAAATTCTTCTAAGCTCAAGCCTAAAGGTGGAGTAGCTAAAGATTCTATTTGTCATCACTATGGTGAAGTTGGCCACTGGAAGAGGAATTGCAAGCAGTATTTGGCAACCAAGAAAAAGGGTGAAGCTTCTGCTTCAGGTACAATTGTTGTAAAGACTTAAAACTAATCTACGATCTCTTCAAAAGTATTCGATACTTATAATATTGCAAACCGTTGCAGGAACTGAAGAGAAGAAGTAGGAGTGTTGATCTTGAAGATGCAAGGGTTGCAGCTCAGTGGCACATTAGTTTAAGTTTTAGTATTTGATCAGTTTCAATTTCGAATTGATGTTTACTTATTGTTTTAAGTACTATTGGTTATTTCAATAAAGGAAAAATTGTTGCTCCATTTATAGAAGTATTTCATATGTTCAAATATTTTGCCTCACAAGCATATCGCAATACAACAACTATACCAAGGCTATAAAAGTACGAATATTGATTAGTTAATAAGTTTGTCACAAAATTATGAATAAAATGAAAAACACTTAAAGATATAAGGATATCTTTATAAAGTTTATAGCCAAGTACCCTTCTCTTTAAATTTTCGAAATTTAAACTTACCATTAACATTAATAAAGAACACTTGAAAAAAATCAAGTGATATTAATACCAAAGTTACATAATAGGAAAGGCAAAAGTGATACGATCATAAAATTGGCGTTCCCTCAAACGTTATCTAGATAATGTGACTAAGATAGTTATTCTAATAAAGAGGATTATGTAACCTTGCCAAATACTACTGCACCTTAAGCACCAAAATAAACATTATAGACTTTGAAAGGAAAGCATACTTGGAATCTGTTCCAAATCGATTCCTTCCTTAATAACAAGTAATAAAAACATGTCTCACATGGAATAAAACACTTTAATACTTGTTTTGGACGAGTCTATCAAGGATAAAAGAAGGGTTTCAAATTATCTATAACTAGTTATAGTACTTATATGTCTAGGATAAAAAGTCTTATTGAAGACTAGTGGGAGCACGATAAGTATGTTGTATATCATTGACAAAATAATCAATCATGAATGCAAATAGTTGTTATGTGCTCAAGTCTAAAGAATCCATATAGATGGATCAAAGGACTAAGAATACTCTAAGTCCAATACACACGTGGAAGATTTTTGAAACTTGCATAAATCTCAAGGTTAACCCTTTTTAGAGATTCACTCTGTAAAAGGACCACATAGAAATCGTTCCATTGAGTACCATGAGATGCGTTATAAGAAATTGATTCATTCTAAAGGAATATATATTATATATATGTCTAAGCTGAGCTAAGAGTAGTAATTAACTTTGTAAAAGTTAACTTTTGATTCTTAAGAAGAGACAAAAGAGTATGATTTTCTAAAAAGGCTTAGGTGTAAATGTAACACACAAAATAGCTTGTTTAGAACAACCATAAGGTAGGTTGAAATTAGCAAAACATATATTAATAGGTATTGACATGGTGTCGTACGCATAACAGTGAGATAAATTTGCAACTTTAGAAGTCTCGAAAGGAAGATAGTTTGGTTTTGGTAGCTTCTCACAAAAGTATAGTGTTACTACCTGCATTAGAAATCAATATCTCATTGTACCGACAACGATAAGGTTACTACAGGAGCTAAAGAAGCTACAGTCTCACCTAGAAACCAAAACTTCATTAGATCTCACCACAGCATACGAAGAGTCGTCAAAGTGAAAGTATCAAAATTTGCAAGATAAGAAAAGGATAAACAATCTCCTAACCTATTGACCTAGGTCTTGGTAAAACCTATACACGAGGGTCACACTACGTGCATGAGGCATACTGTTGTATTTAGGTGCCCTAGCGGCAATCAAATACCTATGTAACTGTACACTTTATCATGAATGAAAGGCCTTGAAGTATGTTTTATATCTCGTGTAACATAACATAGCTTCAGTCCATAGACGATAGCGCTTCAGTAACATAGATGAGGACTACGATGTTCTGATTATGAGACTGTTACTTCTTGACGAAGGCTGTGTCTAGAATATCCCTAGTCGCACTTTATGATAATACGGACGTCATAACGTATCAAGACTAGTACGTACGAGATGAGATAGTAGCGTCTCATAGACTATAGGTATTGTGATATCTTAATCTGTACGTAGGTGCATATTATATTGATAATATGTGACTGGATTGACCCATCTTGAGTATACTACATGGATCTACAGTAATGTGTTTATCAGTATTCTCAAATCGACCTTGCTATAACTATCCTCAGACTTGAAGTTATTACA